GAAACAATCACATTCAAGAAGTTTCAGAAGTAAATAAAAGGAAAAAAAACGGAGAACCTTTCAACGTCGACTGCGATGCGCTACGCTCTTTACTTCTATTCAGTATCGCTGACTTTTGAATGTGATTGTTTCTATAAAAGGAAGGCCAGCCGACAGGGCACGTTGTGCGAGTGAGCGTGAGGGGGTTGTTTGTTGAGGGTCAACTCGAGGGAGGGGGCGGGCGAACTGGCCTCGAAGATAACGCTTTCGGATGTCGGCTTGTGCGCTTTTTTGGCTTATGTATCCCCCTCACCCCGCAGTTTTCTGGAGAGAAGTGATAGGAAACCGGAAAATTTTAGAAGGATGGTGAGGGGAAATGAGAATAGGCAGGATGGAGAATGAGCAGGGGAGGGGAGGATGTACCGGAGGGGGAAACTTTGCAAAAAATTACTCCAACGGCAGCTTGTGCCCCTGTGTAGTATAGAAATTGGTGTGTTGTCTTTCTGAACAAGTCTTTTACCTATACCACGGCTTGCAAGGGATGGAAGTCTTGGTTGACCCTGGTGGGAGACGATCCGCAACCTGGCCCTCAAACTACAAGCTTGGTCAATGGCGCCAGTTGGAACTAAACTCCTTGATACCAATTAAATGAATACTCAGGTGAATCAGGTCAGGTTAGGTACAAAATCTGAAATCCGAAAGTAGAGAGCACTACTCCTACAGTTATCTGAAAATGAGAATACTGTAGGCTAAAAGGACCGGATCTCGGAGAATGGGAAAACTGAATAGTCCTGGGTCGCTGGATGCACAGTGACATACAGAAATCGAACACGAAGTCGCGCCTAACTGGTGTCAATTCAAATGATTTGGGGAAGACTGAAGCAGCAGACTAGCACTAAGGTAATGAGTAGTAAGTGGGTGTAGTGATCATATGGCGCGAGTTCTGACAGATTGCCAGTGGAACAGGTCGCGCAATCGCCAACTGGTAGTCAATCATACAAACAGAGGTAAGTGGATATTTTGCCAAACCCATAAACCAGGTACAGAGGGCTAGGTCGGAAATCAGAACACCTGGCACACTCGATTCATTTTGCGAATCTCGAAGAAATGACAAATAGTCCGCAGGAGACAGTTTTGAATCCTAATTCTGAGTTCTTTTCACTGGGGCAAGACCCTGAGATTAATCAGACAAGTGAGGAAGGCCTAAAGCTGTTGGCGTTGATTGACCCCTCTTTTTGATATGCCACGCGCTCTAATTTTCCTTTCTGGATCGCGGTGTTATTTTGAATGTGAATTGGCCATTATTAGGGCTTGAGGGGGGGGGTGGGGTGGAGGGGCAGCTTATGTACAAGGAAAGGGGTTTTCACCCTCGTACAATCGTTATACTGGAGTCAGGGCTGGGGTCTCAGCAGCGGGTAAGTTTTGGTGCGGCACCAGCCTATTTCCCCTCCACTCATGAAACGCCCCCGGCCGCGACGACGTACAGAAAAAATGCTGGCTCAGCGACAACACCACCGCCACCCAGCCCCCCCCCTCCCTGAAGTTTCAGTGATCGATGACGTTAGGCGAGGGTGATTCGGTCGACCCATCCCGGAGAGACGGAAGTCTTGCTTGGTTGGTCTAGACGGCTGCCGACCCGGAATTTAAATCTCTGACCTTGCGCGTGCTCAATTGCGCTACTACCTACTGCACACCACCGCCCTTGTTAATTAAGAAAGGCACGATCCTTTACCATAAATAATGATGGTGGAGTTGAGATATGGAGGATTAGGTGACACAGCAGCAAGAAAACCATACTATTACAAGTGTCTTAAAAAAGACTCTAAAAGCGGAAGTGTAGGAGCATTCACTCTGGAATACCAACCTCGAAGGAATGGAAGGTTTGGCCTCGAAGAAATGGGAGGTTTGGCTGGCCGTGCCGAGCTAGAGGAGAGCGAAGAACTGTGGAAGGTATAGCTCTCTGGCTCAAACTCTAGATTCCACGAGATAGTACTATAGAGTTCAGCACTTCAATTCATCAAAGTGAAACTCAGAATGTAAAAAAAATCAATGGGACGTTCAGATATCGCGAAATGTTTTTCCTTGGTCTACCTAGAACCCCTAAGCGACTTCGTGAACTCGTACGAAGTTGAATCCCAGGAGAATGCTGATACCTATTGCTATACGTGCACATCCAGAGGACAAATTCGGGATTGCCTTCCACTGGGACCAGCCGCGCCTCTCATCTGCCAAAGGAGAGTAACTTGGATCCAGGCTTGTATAAACTCAGAGTCATCTGGAAAGTTCAAAACATTCGTACATCTGTTGATCTTCGTCAGTCATTTCATAACACAAATCGTATTCGAAAGCCATCACGATTCTGAATGGAAGTAGAGAAGTGTGGCGTATCCCAGAGGGATTGGTCAAGACGTTATTCTTGAACTTCAGTGTATGGTAAGCGATAAAGAATATACAGAACCAAGTGCTGCTATGGGAAAACAAAGCTCACTATAGTGTCACATTACTTAGCGATTATTTTACAGAACAATATATTTTGTTTACATAAGCATTAGTGTTAGTAGTACATTCCAAACAATGTCAATATCCACCTAATGCCCAACTATACTTGAGAACAATCCTTGGAGCAATATAAACACTTCATTCAACTCAAGGTTTGCTCACACCGAGTATTTACGTATGGAGTGCTAATGAGCATCGAATGACGGACGGATCACTCTTGACGATTACACTCCCTCTACCTGGGACGGGGGTAGGTGTGGCTTTTGGGGATGGCATAGCGAAAGTCGTTGGACATTTCATTTTGAGACAACTGTCACTTGTTTTGTGTTGGACAAAGACATGATTACAACTGTCCAAAAACCAAAATGTCTCACCAAAACCACAGCCGCCGCCACGTTTAGTTTAACTGCGCATGCTTGCCTACTGTATCTCAGGGATTTCGGGTGTATGTCAACGTCAATTTTTGACGCTGCTCGGTCAGGTGGTGGCATTTTGCAGGTTCTCGTTGGTCAATGCCGACGCCTGTTGTGATTGTAAAGCTAGCATGAGCTTTGTTCATTTGATAAGGGTCTGGGGTCTAATGGTAAGGGGGAAGAGGTGCTAAAAGAGATATAGTGTAGTTCGCTGCGGACGGTTGGGCGTGTCAGGCGGGATGAGTTTGGCGCGGTGCCAAACCCGTTCTCCACCAGTTGTTAAAGCGAGCAAATGATATGACTGTATCATATCGTTCGTATTACTCGTTTTCTACCACTTTTTGTCGCATGCGCGCTTCAACAAGAAGGCAGAGAACGGCTTTGACGGGGTGACACACTCATACTGCCTGACACGCCCAACCGTCCGCAGCGAACTAGGGTGTAGCTTAGTTCCCGTGCATGTTAACTAAACAGCCATTGTGGATGCTGACAGACGACCATAATTCGTGGAAGTGGCCCTGTAAGACAAGATTGATCCAAAACTAGATGGTTGGAATCTGTTTGGTTGGGATAAAAAATGTCAAGACATTAACTGTTCCACAACTCAGACAAGGGGACACCCGTGACGTCCCTTCTCTCGTTCTGTCACATTTCACCTTCTTTCCACCCATTAACTCATCCTCCCATTCCAATATCTGTGCGAGGCCGAATTTGGCCAACTGACTATGAGAGAAGACCCCTTTGGAATTCCCGAATGTTTCCTTCTCCAGATTTTGCACCAACAAAAATAAGCGGCCGTGAGACAGAGCGATGCGAAGCCCTGTGAGGCAGAAGCCAAGCTTCCGCTACCCCTCTTTTACCGTTCTATGACCAGCCTGGCATTAGCGCCAAGGAATGTTGGGAAGGGGGGCAATTGTAGTTGTCGGGGCACGCAGGTAACGGGTCCATTGGCAACAGTTGTTATCCCGTCTCTTCAGAGCCTAGAAATGTGCATACAAACAACTCTGATATTTGAGCAAGAGAACGCAGACAAGCAGGCATGACGTAACTATTCTGCCAGTCGTCCTCCACCTAGCCCGTAACTGCTCCAACCGTTTGAGCCACCTTCAACGGCATGCATCTCATTCCTTCGCCGCCGTCACTTTCTTATCGCTGACGCGACGACTAGCTGATCCATAAAACCATGAAATTAGGCACTAGAAGCTTTACTTTTCAGATAAAAGACCTCTCACAGTCATAAAACTCGTGTTTTTCTACACATATATAACTTCTAACTTGAAATGTGCAACCGCATAACAATCAGTAAGAAGCTCATACATTTAATACATCTAATAGGGGAAATCCCCGTATCTAATGGAATAATCGCTGTTCTAAAAAGTCTCTTGAGCAAGCACAGGAAATGGCTGGGCTGGCAGTCTTCCAACTAGTTCGAATTGGCTCCTTCTTTCCAAACTACCACAAACTGAAAGCGAAAATATTGAATATGACGAACGAGAGAAGTGAAAGAGAGGAATCGTATGTGGAACTGGAAACGAAGGAATGACAAAACACATACCGTATCGCGGAATGGTACCACTTCGACGTCGGGGAGATATTTACGTATCAATGGGACCCAATAGTCGACTCCATGGTTCGTTGGGAACAAACTAAGAATTGTTCCAAGCTAAATCATAAACATTTGCGATGTGGTGTCATACAAAGACTTGTCCTACTTGATAAAGGCAATTTTCGCGATCTGATTTTATAGGTAGCGGGGGAACAAGTAGCACATAAATGAAAAAATCTTTTTGAGGTCCTCTAAATGAAACTCCTTCCTGACAGTCCCATAGCATGAATGTATGAGTTCGCCGGACCTGACACCCTTTGGCCTCAGTGCAACCCCTGGATCACAAATAGTTCCTTCGCATCGTCTAGTCTTATTGCCGTCAAATATAAGAAAGAAACGAGGAACAAAGACCCTGGGAACAGAAAGTAGCAATAGCAAACTCTGAACATGAGATCAGGACTACGGTAAGCAATGCACGACGAACTCTTGCACCAAAGCTCTACTGCGTCACTGCTGAAGCCAAGCAGTGTCAAAACGCATTTTGCAGTGCAAAAAAGCTGCTGCTGCTTGCCTGCTTCAAAAAATGTATTTAGGGAGAGCAGATCGACTCGTGAGCTCGCAAGAGTCGACAAGCTAAGTGCTTCTCCTATAAGCCCATTAAATCGCCAAACAAGACTTCAGACAACAAAATGCATGCACCTAGTTCACCACATAAGTCGTTGTCTTGCAGACCGAAAAGAACAAAGTGCACAAGAGTTACGCATCAGTGTCCGCTTTCTCTCGCTTTTTCAAGCGACGAAAGTGGTACACTCAATTCGAGTGACCTGATACCAAATGCACGGGAGCCTTCTGCGGATCACTTGATCGCAGGAACTGTCTTTGAAGGAGGCTAGCAGCCGACTTACCGGTCGAAAACCTGAACTGTTGACATTCCGATGGATAAACGCGAAATCACGAATCATACGTAGACAGGCCTGCTCATTTGGTTCCACGCCGGCCATGGGCGGCTGGGATTTGTTTAGGCTCTGAAAAGGTTATGAATAGTGCAGTCGTAGCAAGATGTGCATTGCGTGATAATTGTCGTCCGAGAACTTCTTCTATGTTTGAGGCGCTTGAAGCAGCAGAAAGGAAGTCTTTCAGATAAGATAGTAGGCGAGCCTTTCGCCCGCGGAAAGCGTCAGCGTTCCAGTGCATTGTTTCGCAACGTTACTGGACGATCGCATGACTCATTTGTTTTGATTTGAACGACTGTCCAAGAATTTTTAGTCGGCCTCATGCTTATCCAACGCAGTGGGCTGGCATACGAAGAGTGATTCAAAATTTCTACGATTGCTTGAAGGTTGATGAAGAATGAGTCTGCCGCAATCCCTTAGTGCTGATTAGCCACGCAGCTACTTCCATTCAGAATCGTAGTGGCTTACTGAATGCGATGTGGCCTATACAATGACTTGCGGGGGCCAGCCGATGTACAAGTCAGTGTTTTATCCTCCCAGACGAATCTGGTACCAATTTACCGTCCCGGAGGGTAGAAGGCTTGGTTGGCCTAGCCTTCTACCTTCCAGGGACGACAGTCCGCAGGGCGGCAGTCGACCCGGGATTTGAACTCAGGATCGCGCGAGTTAAGCGCGCCAGTTGTGACCTACAACGTCCTACACACCTCGTGCCGGTAGGACTGCCTGAACGTCCGAAAATCTCTATGTACTTTTTTCTTCCGTTCCTAAATCTAGTATGCTTACTCTACACCCCTGCTATTAGTGCTCCCTTTCTAGCTTTCCAGAATACTCCATAGCGAACCCGACAACTATCCATCAACCATCGACTGATTCTCTCAGGAGAGGAGAACCTTCTACAACCAGCAGTGGCCCTGCCGTGGGTGAAAATATTGAAGAAATACGACTCCCCTCAAACCTCCCTCCTTCTGAAACGAGCCCCTTCCCCATACCTAGTTATCTTTCCTTCCTACTCCTTTTCCTAGCTCTCCCCCTCCCAACAAAATGCTGTCGCGCGTGAGGGAAGGAGGGGATGGGGCTACCTGATAGGAAGATGTAAAACGCTCAAAGCGCGAAAGTTCATAAAAATTATACTAGGGTAAGCCGCTGTCGGAAAGTGATACGTGGAACTGGCGCTTGAAGCCTGGTACCCTCCACAAGTGAGAAATCCCACTCATTTTGCATTCGCGATCAAGTTGTATCAGAGATAACAGAGCAAGAAACGATAGTGACCCTAACGGGTAAAAATTATGGAACACAGCTAGCTTGCCTTGGTATCAAGAAGCAAGTAAATATCCGACCAGAATCACTCTTCTCGCACAATGCTGTAGTCTGAAGGGGTTTTTGAGCTACATTCTACCCTCACCTTCGAGGACGGTCACTACCAAGCACCGAGCTGAAGGGGTTGGACAGCTGCAGTGACGTGCCACTTTCTCCGCTCAAAAATGTGCGAGAACGGGGCTGGAGGATGTTGATATGTGAATGCCGTTGCCATAGTCCGTCCGCGTTATTTTTAGTGTGCAGCTTTTGCGTCGCTACCGAAATCCCGCAACGAAACACACACTCAGCGATAGAGAAGGACCAGAAGGCGGAGGGCGCAGACAAGTAGCGCGTTTGGCTACGGTTGGGCGTGTGGCCGGCGGTGCGCCACCGAGCGGAATATGGGAACGATAACCGAGCATCATTACAATCGAGCACTGTTCCCATGCATTTTTGAGCGGAGAGGGTCTCATGTTACTGTAGCTACGGACCCAGTCACTTCACACATGGCCAGTAACAGGAACCCCGCAGGTGAGTGTACACTTTGTCTAAAAGTACGGCGTTCCCGATGTTTTTTTTCTCCATAGACAACGCTGCATGGTAGCTCCTTTTCTGTTGGAACGCCTCATTTTGTCATCTTGAAATGGACCGTTGGGATGACGCACCTTTTTCAATGAAAAACGAATGAGTGCATCATCCCGAAGATGTCAGACGACAACACATTTCCTTTATTTTGCTACCCTTGAAACTAGCCATTTACCACAATAAACACTAGAAAACTCACGAGACGTTTCGAGTCATTTTTTGGACCAACGCTAGCCGTAGGACTTTGAACGCTTTGTTGTCGACTGCAAAAAGAACACAATACAAACTTTTATTTCAATAACAAAAATGAACTGTATGTTCTCATTTAAGTAAAGTCCATTTCGCCTGAATGCATGAGGCAGAGGAGGTGTAGTGACAAGTGGCGCGCTCACCCCCACGCGGTCCTGGGTTCAAGTGCCGGGTCGACTCCCGTCCAGGCCAACCAAGCCTTCTCTCGTCCGGGAACGGTGGATTGGTACCAGACCCACCTGGGTAGGAGAACAACACTGACTTGTACACAGGGTACAGCATCCTGATGTGTAAAATGGTGGTGTCAGTACGACCTCCCCTCGGAGGAAGGTCTCCGTACGACCCCTCGCCAGTGAGTACCTTCCTACCATTTTCCTACAAGTTCCAGGCTTCCTGCCAACCAAAATTTCCCACATTTTCTAGTCAATGGGAAAAACCTCGAAAAGTCAATAAACGGAAAGAATTTTTAACACGACAAAACCAAATACGACCAAAATGATTCCCCCCTTCTCCCCAGCGACCAAGTACGACGCTCCCGCCATGTGTTTCACACAACGATGCAGTACCCTGCTTGTACATCGGTTGGCCCGCAAGTCATTGTATGGGCCACACCGCTTCAATAAGCCACTACGATTCTGAATGGAAGTAGAATGCGTGCCGCATCCCACAAAGGGATTGATCAACGGCGAAGTCTTCCATCCTTTTATCCTTTCAATACGTACCTGTCCTGTCGACTTGTGAAACCGGATGTCCTTGTAGCAGACCCTTCTACGTCATTAAGAGGCTTGTGCATTGAATAATCAGAACCTCTGTAGTTGTCACGGTCACCCCTGAAAGCCAAAATTTTAACTACAACGTTTTTCACAATGTTTTGGGCTTAATTTTGAACAACTTACCGCTGATCATAATCACGTGATCCGTCGCGTGGAAAACCGGTGCTTCCAGAAGAATACTGAGTATCTGTACGAGGACGATTAGTCGAACCAACAAATCCTAGACGTTCGGAGGGCAGAGGGGAACGTTCTCTGATCACAGTGCTTCGAGAAGGGGCACGGGGTGGCTCACGTCGAATGCAACTTTCATCGATCGGCTGATTGAATATGGAAGCATCTGTAGCCTGGTGCAAGGATGGCCTGACCCGGCTACCATCAGGGGTTAACCGATTATTTTGCGAATAGGAACGATCACGATAATCATCGTCGAAACGTCGATCTGTCGCAACAGATCGGAAGCTTTGGTCATCGCGTATACGGCTTTCCCTAGATACCGCTTTATATATAGTAAAAGCTATGAAATAGTTTCAAGAAATAGTTTTAAAAAAACTTATCAATACTCGCACACCTTCCGGTAAATGCTTCCCGATATGACTGGTCTGCACGGTCATTACGACTATATCCATCTCGATCCTAGAAAAGCTCTTTATTGGAACAGAAAACAAATGCATGATTGACATGAGTTATGGTGCATTTATACTTCGCGACCGAAGCGACCAGCCGCTCAAGTAGAGCGACTGCGACTCACATGCCCCCCCCTCCCATGTTAGGCGCTGGACCGCTGAAAGCTCTAGCACGTTCTTTATGAAGCAAATTACACCTGTGTAAGGTTAGGTATAGCCTATCAGCTTGAAAATAGTTGGCACGATGATTTGGTGCTCGGCCTAAAATGCTAGTAGGGCGCTATATAGTGGGGAAATGGCGAAAGAACGGAGTGAAACGGTCAAAATCCTGCGAAGAAAGAGCCTCCGTTCTCAATGTGTTAGAAATCAATTTTGGACGAGTTTCCCGTAGGCATCTTGCCAATAACCGCTACCGAAGGTACGGCTGCATATGTGTACTCATATATCCATGCAGCATCACGGCCGCTTCATACCAATCCCTTCGCTTCATAATTTGCTTAGCAAATGAATCGATACGAGCGTCAGGAACGTCGTCCATTTGTGGGCGGGCGGGCGTGGCGGGCGTTTGGGACGTAAAGTTGTGGCTTGATAGGGCCCTTATAAGGGCACCTTCCCTTGGAAAAGGCATTATGCAGCGCCTGCTCAGGGTCGCGGAATTCCGTCCTGCCAGGCGTATTAATCCTACTCGTCTTGGGGATTTATCGTGCAACTGCCTTTAACTAGCTTAACTACAGAGTCTCATGAAGAAGAATGGCAGAACCACCTCAGATTGTGGAAACGAAGAGGGCGTGACAGGGAGATGGGATTGGATTTGTCGCGGCGCCAGCCCGTTCTCCACCAGACGTCGAAACAAGTAGGCGACAGCAGTTGTTAAAAAACGGCTGACACCGCGACACCAGCCCCTCCCCTCTCTGACACGCCTCAGCATTTGCAGCGAAAAAAAATTACACAGTTGTTCCAGGACAGCAGTATCCCACCACAGCAGCCAATGTCACATTCAAATTGAGTACACAGCCACGCCCTCCCCTCTATTGCGATATGGAGTATGAGTCGAGGCAGGTAAGATTACATCAGGGGAAACTGCGAAATTGTGGCGTGTGCAACCGCACCGTAGTATTACGCAACGCCGCATACACTACATCAAATTGCGATTCTGTGCTCCTTTGTACGGTGCGGTTGCACACGCCACAATTTCGTGACGCCTAATCCAGCTGCATGTTACACTCCTACTTCCCCATACTCTCTACTTCTCGACGCTGGTGGACGCTGGCATCCGCTAGATCGGTACTCATAGTTCTCTAATCTATCGACACGCTGCTGGACGCTGCCGCAAAGTATGGACACAGCGATAATCTTGATTTTGTTTTCTCTTGATATTACAAACAAGAATATTCCATGAAATGATTAGGAATTTATACCTGTTGTAATTCAGAAGTCCCTCTGCGATCATACCTCTCCTGCTGAAATCCTGCACTTCCCCTGCGCTCGTTTCGATCCTGGTCGAGTTCAGCATTTCGATCCCGTTGAAACTCAGTATTCCCTCTCCGCTGGTACTGATCTTGTTGGTAATCAGTATCACCTCTTCTCTCATTTCGATCCTGTTGGTAATCAGCATTCCCTCTCCGCTGGTACTGTTCCTGTTTGTAATCAGTACTTCCTTTTCTTTCATTGCGATCCTGTTGGTAATCAGCATTCCCTCTTCGCTCATATAAATTTCTTGTCTGACTTGTTTCGTTGTTTATCGGAGCGCGGTTTTCCTGATGTGGTTTGTACTCGTTCCTTTCCTTAAGAAATATACCTTATGAATTCTGGCACCAAATTTCGAGTTTTTGTTTAAGATAGTACCTCCTGAATTCCACCTACGAATTTCTCCAGGCTCTGAAAAGCGGAACGATAACGAGGAATTGGAGGTGGTGGATGTGCAAAAGTGTTAGCAGATGAATCCGTTCTGACTGGAGGTTGTGGCTGAGAGGATGAAGGAGGTTCATGCCTCGCTTCTGGTTTCACTACTTCTATGTATTCATTATCAGGCATTTCCCATCGATTTGGGCGTGGCTGTGGCACACTGCTGATATTTGGCGACTGTAAAAAGTAGAATACACAATGGAAACAGAACAGGCAGAAAGCAGCCAACCTTTTGTAACACTGTGGTAGGAGCGTTTTCATATTGAGTCGGGGTTGGCGCATAAGACTTAGGTTTGGGCTTGGGCGATGAGGTTTGTTTCGATCTCCACTCGTTAGTGGCACCAAACTCCTTCTCATCCGTTCGTCCCTTAATGAAAATTCATAGTTTTTTTTTGTTTCAGAAAACATTTCGTTACACTTATTACACCCTTCGTCCAGCACAGAGAGAATGTCAGTTGTCGCAAATCGAAATGCCCGTAGAATGTCCCATTCACGACATATTAAAATGAAGTTCGCAGTTAGGCCTACCGCGTCTCAGGGATGTGGAGTTTACCTACAACGAAGGTGCCTCGTAGGTTGGGGAATGGCTGCACGAAGAGAGACTGTCCGGCCTAGCAACTTTTTCCCCTTTCTCACTTCCCCAGTTCGCCGGGGACGTCATTTAACTGTTTCTGATAACTAATCGGGAGGTACCTCCTCCGCCCACGGACTGAAGCGGGGGGGGGAGGGGGAAGAGAAGTCGCAGCTCGGAAAATGCTTCCTAACGCCCTGCCAGCAACATACTTTTTAAAGCAGTAGTTGAAATGTAAAGAAGCATAACCCGTATCTTGCGGAACAGAGTCAATGCGCAACTTTACGCGGCAAGCCGACGTAATATTCGAAGTTCAGGGAGAAGACAACTCCAAGGGACAAGTGCTCATCGCATTTAGTGATTTGAGACTTTTTAGTGCCAGCCCTTGTCGCGCCGTTTCCAGGAGGTGGCAGATGTTAACGGGGGGAGGGCAAATCACAGGAAACAAAATTTCCAGTCTTCCCACCTCGCGGGGTGAAATTGCGACCAAAATCCGCAACTGTTTTTTTTAGAATGGGGGAAGTTAAAGTCTAATTGTGCCCATCACTTTGAAAATCACTACCGTCATGGGTGAGAAAAGCTTACCCTTCAGCCCTTCTCACCTGGCCTTTTCTGGCAATGCAGATGGGAAAAATGAGAGGAACGCGCATCATGATGCGCTCTCTTGAGCGTACCAATGATGCTGATGAAAATACACGGGCAGCGTATAGATACTTATTAACCCTCAAAGTAGTTAGAATATAACAAATAAAAATAGCAATTTAATCAGTATGTTTTCTTGTGCCTCTCGAGGTTTTTAGGTGGAACAGTTTATTTTAGCGGCCTGACGTTTCGACGTAATCGTCTTTTTCAAAGGCCTAAAAGTGTTTCGAGTTTAGAGATGTGTACTACCCCGCCAAAGCGCCTAATCCACCCCAGCATTTCCGATGACGTGGTCCTAACCCAACCGAGAATCTCCCGCAAAACGAAAGAAGCGCTCACCTCTGTTCCACCGCAAGCGGAATAACCCGCTATACCATTAGTCGACCAGT